CCTCTCTCTCCCTCTCCCTCTCTCTCCCTCTCTCTCCCTCTCCCTCTCCCTCTTCCTCTCTCTCTTTCTTTCTTTCTTTCTCTCTCTCTCGCTCGCTTGCTCGAACTAGAACTTGCACAAGAACGCCCAACATTCCCGTTCTTATCCCCTCTTCCCTGACTCAACGCAGCGAATAAGAATTCCCAACCAAGGCCGCTGTCCGATGCGGTCTGCAGCCGCTCAAAAGGGAAACAAATTCTGCTTGTAAACAGCGGACCCCCGTCTTCTGTCCGTGGGCCGCTCCTGCGCAACACACACTCGTTCGCGCCGACCGGCGGAGGCGAACTCTTTGGCGGCGAGCTCCGCACACACCAATACACACGCGCGCAACGGTGAAGGGCGCCCCGCAAACAACCCTTGGCGAGCGGAAGGGCACCGGTTCGTTCCCCGGCGGCAAGCAGGCAAGCAAGGCGGTAGCGATGGCGCGCGCTTCGGTTCTCGTGGTCACCGCTCTCCTGGTGCTCGTGGTGGTGAGCGACTCGTCGGGGTCGCCGCTTTTCGGCCTCTTCTTCAACACCCGCAAACGCCCACAGAGGAGGCCGCCCAACCCTGACAGCGGCGTGAACGGGAAGGAACGCTTCAAACAGATCTGTCACACCGTCAATGCAGGCAGCTTCGCTTTTCCTGCAGGCTACCCCGCGGGCCCCGTCTGCCCCTACTGAGCTCCTGGCGAAGTCAGTGGTGCTTCCCCCCCTTGTTTTTTAATTGCCACCCATAAGATGTAGAAGTATTCTGAACTGAAATAAATTCAATCTCCTGAACAAGTCAGGATATTGACTTCTGGAATTATGCACATTCAAAAGTTTTGTTGTTGGTTTCTTTTTTTTCGCAATTGCCTCCCATAAGATGTAGAAATATTCAGTACTGAAATAAATTCAATCTCCTCAACAAGTCACGACATTGACTTCTGGAATTATGCATATTCAAAAGCTCATCGTTTGATGCCACCTGAGGGACAACATTCATACTGCACAGACATTCTTTGAATGAAGGAGAATATTATGCAATATTTTAAGTTGAAAGTTGGCTTTTTTTGTGACACGAAATACAAGGTAGCTTCATGGTATATTTGGAGTTATTTGGTTTTCAAATTCGACAAACAGTGTATTAACTAATACTCAAGAAGACTTTAAAATAGTTTGTGTGTTACAAAAGATGAACTATTTGTACAGTGAAATGTATAGTTGTCGACACATATAATGGAGAATGTTCAAATTCCCAGTCTTTCTGCAGCACTGTACGGAGGATAACGCCATCTGGTTCTTTCGTAGTTAACTGTTACAAAACAACTTTCTCAACCAACTGCCAGCGACTAAGAAGCTGCCAGACTAGATTTCTCCTACATTTCCTAAAATCATGATCTCTATCACGAACGTTTCCTATGAAAGGCGAGTTTATCCTAAGGGTTGAAAAATATTTAGGAGGGGGAAGTTTTGATGAAGTAATAGTGTTCAAATATCAGTGTTTACGAAATTGATCATCTTAGCCACAATTCAACTGGGTGTTTAGTAATAATGTTGCATTTCTTGTCAAAATTGTTATTTTGCAATATTCACCCCAGAGCAAGCTTGAGGAGCCCTCAGGTCAAATACCGCATGTTTTGGAATTGTTTATAAAATTTTTAATTATTGCAAAATTGTTAATTTGCAGTTTTCGTTTCTGGGACATCAGGGAACACTTGCCTATTCAGAATTTTAAAAAAAGGAAATTGTTAATAAATTTGCAAATTTTGTAATTTTTAATCGTCTTTTCTAAACTGTCTTTAAACGAGATGCAAAATTCCGTAATCCTATCGGCGCTATCGCCTTTCGTTTTCGAGATATGCATTTTTTATAAGAAATAAGCATGTAATTACAACTCCCATTTCTTTCGGAGTCAATCTTGTAGCAGTTTCTACACAAATCTACCCTTCAAGCCGTTTTGCAAATGCAAAGTGCATTTAGCGACACTCTCTTTTAATCCGACCCTGACACCACAATGCTATTTAAGATACCTTCAGACTGCAAGCCGAATGTTTAAGGACACTGCATATCGAGAAAAAGTCATGGAAACTTGAGTTTTTACAAATGTTCCCTAAGTACGTTAATTCCGAAAAGGTGATCTTATGGGAGTGCCCAAATTCTCTGAGCATATGGAAGAAACATTCATTTCAACGACGAAGCCACTCACTATAATAGTCATGACATCCACTACTTGCTTTAATTTATGATGTTCTTTAAATGCGCCCTTCTGGCTCTGAAAAGCTAACATTAATGCTACCATTTAAACTAATAATAATTATTGTTAGGATGAAATAGTGTTTTTTTTTAATTGTTGCGCCATCGTAACGATTTTATAAGTTCTTCTGGGGCCATTGAGCGCTTAGTATAATCGTTCTTGAAATTCCTTTTTTTAAAGAAGTCAGTCATTGACTTTTATCCTTTCGGCCAGGAGCAAGTTCACAACTTCTTATAATCATTTGTAGAAAATCATGACAGGATAATATTATTAGCAACGAAATTATAGAGTTTTATTGAATTTGAAGTGACTGCTTGGGTATTTTGGGGTTTAATGAACAAAATATAGATACCTGAATTTGACGCAATGAAAAGTAAACGAAAAATTAGTCAAATGTCACTATATCACCAATATTCGTGCCAAATATTGCGAATATACCGAAATTAATTGAAGTTCTAAACACGGCCGTGTGAAGGAATTCACATATAACATGTATACTGACAAAGTAAAAATAATACCATACTTAGTATTGAAGCATACCGAAACATAAAGTACTGAACGAAAAAGAAACGGAATACCTCACATTTCAACCAAAACAAAACAGAGCAGTCCGTGTAGTACTTCGTTATATTCACACATCAGTGAACGAAGAAGAAACCAAAGATGAACTTAAATCTGAGGTCAACCGTGTTCCTAACATACATAATGATGACATCGCCAAGAGAGGCCAAATATATCAGAAGAGATCGTGCGAGCACGCGAATTAACTTCTAATTAACCTACGAGGTAAGTCAACACCTATATAGACTGACGCGAAAAAAAACATTTTACTGAAGAAACCTATAAAACATGTCATAGTAGTGATTGATTTCTGTTAATTTTTTGTTATACTGTTATTTTGTTATACGTTTGCTTAATGTTAAAAAATAAACAGATTGTAAATTTGCAGAAGTAAAAATAATTAAAAAATAAAAAGTAAACGTTCCGATGTTTCCTCTACGAGACGTCATTCATCGTTCCTAATCATTCGCTCAGAATACTGCTGCAATCGATTTCGAGATTTCAACGGAAGTAAACGTTTTGGGTCCTCTGATACGAAAAGAGTGGTGTTCCACTTCCATCCGTCGGTCCGCTTATCTTTCTCTGAAGACTCTAGTTCATAAACTATACGTATATTTTTTTTTCAAAAAGCATTCCATTTTCGATCTTGCCCGATTCGTGACCGTGCAATTTGAAAAGAGTTTTTTTAAATATTGTGGGTAATTTACTTGAAGCAATTTTTTCTTCAAATGAAAATAGTTCTTCACAATCAGTTCTTTATAAAAGAGTGTAAACATCTCATAAAATACAAGTAGTTTTCGCGCAAACTTGATTAAAATATGAACAATATTAAAAGCCCGATTTTCTCAAAACGGCATCGTATTTTTGTTCTTTAAACGTTCTGTATTGTAGTGGTATGAAGGCGGCGCAAATTTTCAATCAGTGGTAGGAAGGATACAATTTTCAAACAATTAAGTATTTCATCGAAAAATGCAACATACACCATTCACTTAAGCGTTCTTTACGCTTTCTGAGGACAAAGTTTAATCAACATTTTTGGAGCAATTTTTGAGAAAATTTTGAAAATGTTGACGCTTTTTATAAAGAATCTCCCAATATCAAAATGTCCGTTTCAAACTCAGAGAGCCTCGAGTTTATTTAAATCGATCGACGAATGTCAATTTCGGAGAAAATTGGTAGTACGGTTTAGGCGCTGGCATTGACCACAGACGGACGAACGGACTGACAGACGTGTTTCCGTCTACCTATTTTTCGGTATCGATGGCCCAAAAGCATGGATTCTGATTAAAAAACGTGTTATAGGAAGTAATTTTCTATATTCTCGTATACGAACATGATTTACCCACTTTTTCGTTACTTGGACCTAGCAATAAGCCTACCTTTCTCCGTCGAAAACAAGGCACACGATAACAACACTTTCTCTTGTCACTAAGTACGAGGAAGAAAAAATGTGTTAACGGCGTCAATAGGTAGTTGCTGGGAAGATGACGAGGAAAAACCAAAAAGGTAACTCAGACTAAACGTATCAAGAGACTAAAAAAACGAGAATGGGTGTGCCATTCTGCAGCTATTTTTATTCAACATTCTATTTTTCATTAATCCTTCGTATCGCTTCCGTCACAAAAGCGTATTTTTGGAATGGCCTCACACTTATTATTTACATTTCTTCATTTAGTTTTCTTCTAAGATCAAGAACTAGCTCATACTAGTTTATTTAATTACCACCACTTTCGAAACATCCTGTAAAATTTCCAATCCTTAACCCCAACGAAGAGATTTGGAGCGAGTCCGCAAACAACCGCGCATCGCGTCTCGCGCGGTCTGAATGGCGGTGTCCGCACCGCATGGGTCCTATACTCCTCTCCACGTGAGCGGCGCGCGTGCGCAATCGACCGCCCCGCCGCATGCCCTCCCGGCCCGCGGGCGGAGGCCGCGCTGGAGTGCAACGCCGTGCGGCAGCGTCGAAGCCACACCGCCGAGGTAAGCCAAGGCGTCACGCACTGCCAACCACACGCCGTCCAGCTGTGCGGCGCGCATTCCCGCTAGTTAGAGGTTATGTTCGGCTCAAAAATTGGATAACCACTGCCCTACTTGAATCATAAAACAGATATATTACTTTTGTTTGTTTTTTTAAATGTAGTGCCTGTTTCAAATGCATGCCAATAAATTATTTAGATCCATTTTTTTTCTTCAAAAATAAATAAACGATACGAAATTATAACAAGAAGTTGTTGTATGACACTAATGCGCCTCGGATCGTTAGTGAAGGTCGATATTAATTTGGGTGACGGTCAGTTTGGCCTTGAATGGCTTTATCGTTTTCCCATGCTAAGTTAGACACGTGTTCATTTGTTAGAGGCGTCAAAGAAATGTGTATTATTCACAGAATGAACGTCGCAACCTAGACGATCAGAAGCGCGAAAGATTCTAGACGCATGCGTCGGATGTTCTGCATCAATCACTCCCCGCTGCTAATTCGAACATAGCATGGGCTTAAAATGTTGCCTAGCTATCTAATGTAACAACTATCTGACCGATAACTAAGAGAAAAAAACCTATGAAAGAAAACGGCATCTCCACGAGGTAGAATTAGCACTAGGCCCCACGCGCGTCGGCCCAGCGTCATGCGGGTAGCGGCGGCGCTGCGCGGAGACAGCGCCAAAATGGCGTAGCGGGGGCGTTCGGATCGATGACGCGCCGCCAGCTGGCGCCTTCGCCCACGCAAGCGGTTCCCTCCCTTCCCCCGCCCACGCGCGCCCACCCGACGCGGAAGTGTGTCAGCGGGGCGCCCGCGCCCGCTCCGTCGCAGGGGGAGATACCCGACTCAGCGGTTGCGGAGTGCATCGCGGCTCGGCGGAAGCGGAAGACAAAGAAGAAGAAACAGAGGGCCCGGCAGCAGGCGCGCTGGGCGACCATCGGCCGATGGCTCGGACCGGGCGGCGGCGGGGGCGGCGGCGGGGCGCGGGGGCGGGCAGCGGCGGCGGGAGCGGCGGCGCGGGGCGGCTGCAGCCAGCGCGTGAGCGACGCGCGACGCTCGCTCGCCGCCGCGACAGCTCGGAGGTGGCTGGGGTCGAGTACGCAACCCGCGCGCGCGCAGTGGGCGGGCGGGCGCGGGGGCGGGCATACAGCACGCGCGGCGCGGCGGCGGCCTCGCCGCCTCGCCGACTGCCCGTCGCGCAGGTACAGCTGATAGCGGCGAGGAGGAGGTCGCGGTCCCATCGATCGAGAGATGCGCTTTTGCCAGACGTGCCATGCCAGCGCGGGTTGACCAACTGTTCGGCTGGTCGTTGAGCCACTCGCGCGGAAAGGAATCGTCCCTTGGCTACCACTGCGTGCAACGCATTGCTTCGTTATAGCCATGGGTTACCTTGATATCGTAGGCTTCCGCGGCCAGTCATGATCTGGGCTGTCCGGGTAACGCCGCGTCTCAACTTTCGACGCAGCGGCACCCGAACAGCCCAGACCATGGGTTACCTTGCACCAAACTTAGAGGCGATTGATAATATTGTTATTATTATTATTATTATTATTATTATTATTATTATTATTATTATTATTATTATTATTATTAAAATAGACTTGCTTTACTTGTGGCCAGGCTTTAACAAGTTCTCAGTTCTGAATGGTCGTGAAGCAATTAGTTTGTATCACATGCTTCATACATTTTCCTTCTGGGCTTTCGTTTAGGGCCAAGTAATATTGCAAAACCAAATTAACAGATTTTTGCAGCTACCAAGAGGCGCATCCCAGAAGTCAGATGTTTTCTTTTTTTATTATTTCGGTGGAAAAAGAGGCAGCCTAAACACATTGACAGCGTTAATTAAAATCGGGCTAACGTCCATGCATGTTACATGAAATGATCAGCAACAGATGCGATGAGACACCTCACTCCATCCTAGGTTGCGTAATCATGTCACAGTAGAAATCAATGTAGTTAGTTGTGAGAAAAGCTTCTCTGCGTTTAGCTTTGCGCCAAATATATAAGCCAGGTATATAAGCCAATATATAAGAAATATATAAGCTATACTGGAATTGAATACCATACTGTTACTGATACCACAAATCTTTGAAAACGAGGGGTTACTGTGCCGAAATATTGATCTACTGTGTGTTCCGCGGGCGAGATAGCATATTATCCTTCCTGTAAGAAATACTGCACAGACGAACGTCATTTTTTACGTGAAAGTCTTATTGCCGTGTTCTCGATATCTCTTAGAGATTTCTAGATTTTCAAACTCGTCTCCATCACATGTTCTCTGACTATTCCGGAGCAGAACCTTCGAGGCAAACTTAATCTCCTCCAATTTTTCAGAAAAAATAATAAACTCTTTCTCTGAATTTTAAGTTTTTGAACGAACAAAAATAGTGAAAATTAAAAAGTTGTGTTTCTATATCTATTATAATCTTATCTATTTTTCTTACTTTTCTCACTTAACAAGAAAGATAATATTAACGTGTTTTAACGTGTCAATATGCTCAATCCCCAACAGGCATTGTGAATGCTTTAATTTTATTAATAAAAACAATACAATTTTGATCCTAAAATCTATAAACGATAAAATATGTACAAACAATTCAAAAAGGTGTATTTTTGTTCATTTCTCTCTTCAAGCCTGAGGTTTTTGACATTCCAATTCCAATTCCTGCGATGTTCCAAAAAGTGCATTGAACATGCCGCCCTACTCACTTTTATCTTTTCCTAAATCATTTTCCCTCAATCCGAACACCGTGTGAGGTTGTCTTCGCGCACCAGCTGTGCCCGCGACCCCACGTGACCTCTGAAGGGTCGGCCATCGCCCTTTGGAGCGCGCGCGAGCTGACAGAGGGCTCTGGGCTCTCGTCCGGGAGCAGGCGCTCCACAGGGCTCGTTAGCGCGTATTGCGATTGAAATTTCTTTCCGCCGAAGTGCAGGTTAATTGAGCGTCCGCGAGGAGATGGATTCCCGGCGCGCCTCCACCCTGTTATTGAGTGTTAATTTGTTCGCCTGCGGTTATCAAAAGGCGTTAACTGGTTACCCGGCGGGGGGAACTCGTTAAAACAAGAGATGGGGGTACTTAAAAAGGATATTAAATAAAAATTGAACACGTGAGCGCACCTTCAAGAGATGTGAAAGAGACCTCGATATAAATTACAAGTACGCTCGTAGTAAATATTCCATATTTGCAAGCATATGTCATTTTCGTAAAGATTACACTGTTAAAATATTAGGAGTTTCGTATATATTCGTTTGCAGAATAAAAAATGAAATGTTTTCTAACGAAGTTCATTCGAAAAACTAAATTAAACTCACAACAAAAATTTGTAATGAACTGAAAAATGAAAATGTACTATGTCAATGGTAACGTACTGGAATACGGTACACTATTACAATAAAATATAGTAAACAGTAACAAATAGATTTTATTCAACAAAACTTTATTTTTCAGAGCACGATTTTTTTAAAAATATTTTGAAGAACAAAATAGTGATCTCGGTTTGTGACTAACATTCTACACATTTTAAAGAGAAACGTTAGAAGGAAGAAATTCTCTCTTCAGAATACGAACAGTATTGTTTTGTGCATCGTTTTAATAATTTAGTTTCATTGTGGAAGAAATATGTTGTCCATTCTGGAGGGTGCATCTGGACTTTTGTTGTATGGTGCTGCCAGCTGCCTTCTTGGCAACGTTCACGCTCTGGATAGTGTCCAAGGCGTCGTCCTCAATGATAATGGATAGGGGTTCATTGCAAACGTCTCGCCGCGGAATCGATCTGAAAGTAGGTTATGGAAATACAAAGAAATGCGATAGGCACTCCGAAGTATCTTTTTCAAGTACATTACTGTGACTAGAAAACTGACGTAAATGAGCTGCCTGTTGCTTGAGCAAGAAAGTGTTTTTATATTTATTTTTTAGTGTTTCCCTGGCTGTCTTATCGTGACGGCCACAACCCACTACAATTTATCGCTCTATTTCGATAATGTGTATTGTGAAGTATGTATAAGTGTTCACTTGGTGTTTGTAGCGTTTATTGATGTGAACATATAGGAAAGGTAAAATAACGACGTCTGTGAGCTTTTAAAGAAAATGTCAACTTCCGTGTACAGTGTGCGATTGATATACAGTAAATAAATTGTACGAGAATTGTGCAGCATTGTTCGAACATCGTATTTGCATTTACATACTGTATGTAATACACTCTGTTCTGCCACAGTTGTCATCACCGAGGCGCCAATAGAACTAAAACATTTGCCATGTTGGCAAGAGTTAATGGATCACATGGACCATATGACAGTCGCGGAGTGGTGTGCGCCGAACTCTAGTGACGTGTGCGTGTGGTGGCGAGGGGAGCGAGGGTGGTTAGTTCTTCAATGTTTTAGTTTCAATAACGTAGATCCTGTGACCTCTTTAGCGCCTCCAGAACCTCAGATCAATACTGAAGCTGCTGTGGTAACGATGTGCGAAATGGAAGTACTCGCAGCTGATCTGTAAGTGTTTTCTATAAATATAAGTGTATAATCGGTTTCGCTCATCTCAGTACTTTTTTAATTGAAGACTGAAGTACAACTAAGATTGCTAATTATGCAGTTCGAATTATGCTATTTGTAAATGTAGTATTAGGAGTGTTAGTTTTTATATTCATAAAATAATTTAATAAATCTATTAATATTAAGTTAATAAAAAATCGACTAATAGTGAAAAAAATGTGCATAATCAGAAATAAAATTGTGTGCGTAGGTAATCTAACAGTAGAGATTTTGATCCTGCAATACGTACACTGTGTTTTGAATGAAAAATTGTGTAGTAGATATTATTTTATTACAATTGTGAGCTATTTATTAACTCAATTTATTACAATTTTGACATTGTTAATAATCATTTTCTTTATCCAGTTTTCAGTCAGATGTTTCATGGAAAATTATTGTCACAACATATGAACTTTTTGACACATTAATGACTTGCGCAGATACGCGATTTTATGAATGAAGTACACTTGCAAAGCACAAATTCTGAAACAAATGTACAGGGAAAGATGACAGGAATGTACTTCATGTTCTCCGGCAACACCTTCCAAATACAATCTTCTGTTAGGACAATAAATGAAAAACGAAATGCATGACATAAATTCAAGTATAAAATAATTCAGAAAATTTGAAACTAGTACGTATATATGCAAAATTAAATACGTCGATTTTGAAAATGCCAAAAACCGAATATAAATTCTACCAAACATTATTATTAGAAGTTTAAAACTACCTCAACTTACTAATTTTCTATATGTTTTGATATTAAAATCTAAGTGGGCCAAATACAAAGTGAAACATTTATAAAATGTATGATTGTCGCAAAATTATAAACATATGTTCCCTATTTTTTACACTTGTTGAAATGCAAAATGTTATCCAAATTATATTGGTGTGCTGTGTCTACAATACACGGTTATAATAAAAAACAGTCTTCAAATAGAGTAATATTAATTATTCTTTGGATTCACTATATGTATGCAATCCAATGAATTTGCTTGAATTACAAGGCGTATATTGTACCTCCTACAAAGATACAATAATATCTTGATAACAAGGTCGGACGAAATGTAAGAGGTCAGATTTTGATAATTCCAAAATCGTTTAATAAATAACATTTTTAATACAAAGGTTTATTGTTCTTCTCAATCAGTTTTCCTCTACTTATTAAATCATTACCAGTCTAGATTGCACTTGTTAAAAAACATTTTTAAGGAAGGAACTTGGACATCTGCGACACTAACAACTGTGATATTAAAGAACATTCATTTAGTGGTGTGGCAGTAGGATTTTTGTAAATAATTTGATATATTTATCTAGTTTAATATTAAACAAATTAATTTCTTTTGATTGAAAGTTGAATATGACATGAAGGTTGTTTCTAATATTAAGTAAATTCCTATGTATAATAATTTCCAGGCATTAATCAATAAGAGGTGCAGAAGAATCTCAACTATAATGAGAATCGAGAGCTAATTTTTTTAACTTTGGCTGAGATTAAATAGTCTAGTAGGAAGTCTAATTAATGTAATTTGCTGTCTTTTATTTATTTTTGTTTGTGAAAGCAAGTTTCATTGAATTTCTTCTAACCATGTTTAGTTTGGATGGAGAAGTTTTCCATTTGTAGCCCTGGTTTGGATGTAGATGTTTTCTAGCAGAAGATAGTAGGTTTTCTTTAGGCCTTCTTGTGCATCACGTATTTTATTTCGGTTTGTGAAACAATTGCTGTGTTAGGAGCAGAGTGAACTAATTCATTTCCTTGGATACCTGTGAGAGCGGGTAACTAACTAAAGGGTAATATGGAAGCAATTATTTGAAGGATGGAAAGGAAGTTTTTCAACTTGAGTCACAGGTTTCAATACACCGTTATTTCGTACTGCAAACGAAATACGACTGCGCTGATGACGTTCCGACTACTAAGAATTCGAAACATATATAAGTTTATTGGTGTGCTAAGTATTACAATAATATATGAAGCACATATTTCTTGACAATTAATGTACAAAACAAGCCACTAATTGTTTTGACTTCTTTATTATTTTAAACAAAAATTACATCAGTTTGTTTCATAAGAATTTTTTTAATTTCATGCTGTGAATAGATTCGATGATGTAAAGACTGACAGTAGTCTGCAGTACTTACATCTCTCTCTCTCGCTCGCTCTCGCTCTCTCGCTCTCTCGCTCTCTCTCTCTTGGTCTCTCTCTCTCTCGCTCTCGCTCTGTGTATGTGTGTTCTTTCACTCGAGTGTTTTTCTACTCGCTTTTTTCTTATTATTTTCCCCTTCAATACCGTTTTATCTTATTGTCTCTCACTACTTGTCTCACTGTACTATTATACACTCTACTATCCCTTTCTCCGATCTTTCTTACTCTTCTCTCTGCCGTTCTGTTTCTGAACATTTCTCCTTGCTTTTTGCCCCGCCTCTCTGCTTTTATTTTTACCTCTCTCAAAATCTTACATCCTCTCTCCTTTGCTTCATTTTTCCTCTGCCCCTCTCCCAAGTAATTGGTAGAGTATTGCGCAGTGTTTTACTCAGTGGCCACCTTAGGGTGTGGTTTCTTACCTCAAATTTTTAACTATCGCACTCCAAAAAAGTTAAGGATACCACTTCTCAAGGGCTCAGGTCAATCACACTTTTTGTAGTTCGAGAGATAGCTTGACAAAAACATGTTCTTAAGCCGCGGTTCACAAATCGTAGACAGAATCTTTGATTTAAACAAAAATTGGTGAAGTTGGTCTACTGGCACATTTGAGTACTAGAAAACCCTAAACTTTTCAAAATAAAATTATTTTTTGTGATGTCACGTTAGAAACTTTGTGTGCTTAATGTAAAAAAGTTTAAGATTTTAAAGAATTTATTCCCTTTCATATGCACACTACGTCTGCTGAGGTGGGAGGGGTTAGACATGTCAAAATAAACTATTTAACTAGAATGTCAATATTTTATCATTCATAGCTAGCATGTTTATAGCTATGCCAGTAAGTGACAGACGAATAACAAATTAAAGATTGTGGTAAACAAAGTGAGTAAGACTGCTTGTGATGGACCCGACCGGTCAGGAGTGCTTAGTCCACTTCGAAAAATTTACAAAAGAGAGTGGCAAAGAAGCTGGAGGTCTAAATATGATGTGCGTTCCACTTATATTATGTATTCTTGTTGAAGAACATCAAACCTAGAATAGTAATGGTGATATATATCGCATATTGTTACTGGCAAGTAAAACTTACTCATTTCTACAAGGGAAATGTAAATTAGGCTATTAGTAAATACTCGATCGCTAAACAATTGTATTAAAAGACCACATAAACAGTCAATAAACGTTGAAGCAACTTACATATTATCTCATAACAACTTGTGTAAGAGACTTAATACTATTTAGTGAATAAATCTTACAAACCTATAGACATATGATTACAGTAAGAAAACTAATACAATAATAACAATGAGATTACGAGCATATAAAGGTCCAAATAGTAAATATTATACTGTTATTAGGAGATATCTTGGCACACCACGATCTATATGCTCTAATCGAGTGATTAAATTTTGACTCATCATCAGTATTCGCAGGTCACTGAGCTCGCCCCTGCTAGTGCTGAACTCTTAGAAACAAAATATTCGCGGGTTAATTGCTAGAAATTTACCACAACCGAGTTAAACATTTCTTTGACTATTCCACTCGTGAAATTAAAGCCAATAGTGTTTAATTTTCATACAAAATATTTCCAAAATATAAATAAGGCAGTGTATCTTAAAAATTATGGTTTTTTATATTCGATTTTTCTCACCGCTCCTCCTTAATCATAAAGTGTGACTCATCTAAGGTGGCGATATACTACATGGATCGCAGTGTCGCATGTTATTTTAACATAGCTTTCAGTTATTTCCATTATTGGGCGCATTTTGGGAACTCTGTGGGGCATAATTTCACTTGTGTAAGAGTCCTAATAAATACCACTCGCTTTGCTCGAGTTGGGAATTTGTCGACAATTTCCAAAGTGATATAACCAATGAAGAAACAACTCAACAAGTTATTTCCAATATTTGGCGCAATTTGGAACTCTGTTAGACGTAATTTCACTTGTAAAAGAGTCCTAATACATACCACTCGTGTTTTGGAAATTCTCAAATAAATCTCCACGCTTCGCGAGTCGGTAATTTATCAACAATTTCCAAACCACTCATGGTATTACCGTATGAAAAAAAACAACTCTGTTGTGTCGCGATTGCAGACGATGGCGACGGACGACAGCATGAGCGACGACGTGTTCGAGTCGCCGGGGGACGCGCCGGGCAGTGCGGGGCCCGCGCCGGCGCCCGGCCTGGGCGTCTCCCAGGAGCAGATGCACAAGACGCCCTCGCCCACGGGCTACCCCGACTACCAGCCGCCCGCGCAGCTGCTGGCCGGCCTCCCGCCCAGCGCCGACGCCGACGCGCCCGTGCACAAGGTACGCCCCGCGCACCGCCTGCCTCGACGACAGGCGAAAGCCATTGCCATACATTTCTTAGAGGGCGGCTTTCGCTGGCATGAATAGCTGTTAATGAAACTAGTGCAGAAAGAGAGCCTTCAGCCTACGAATGGAGTACTGACGGGCCAGGCGGCGATAGGGGCCAAGTACGGCATTTTGAAGAGCATTCGTCAACACTATTTTCACATGCATTACATACATTATACTTTTCAACTGATACACGGAAACTTACAAGTAAACGCCCTTGAAATCATTCTCAATTTACGACGCGGCAAACTGCATACGAGGTTGAGTTCAGTCGCTGTCCTGAAGAGAATCCTAGCGGCCGGTTGCTCTGATCGATAGTTTTCCGTGTTTCCTCCGATCAACAGTTAGTGGATATCGGGGCAGTACTCTAACAAAAGCGCCACGGGCCGCGCGCGATCTTTCCTTCCTCTCCCTTACACACCTTATTTCCACACACTTACACTAACATGCTCTACACTTCCACACATGACGGGATGTTAAAGCCTGTCCTGGCAAGGGCAGTGCCAGTGGGCGATACCTGGTTGGGGAAACACCCTCAAGACTGCGGGTAAGTCGGCGCCGAATTTCGTCATCCAGTGAGGGAAGATTAACCCTACATCTCGCGATAAAAAATCATTACACTTACGGGACTAATGACCTTTGCAGTTGACGCGTCTGTAAAAACTAGTTAATGAATCCTTGAGGACAATCGAAAGCAGGTGGTATACATGTCTAAAAACGCCATTTTAACATGATATGAATAATAAATCATTCAAGTGACTTGTACAGAAAGTTAAACCTTGGCTTACGAATGTATGTACGACCCGGCGATAGAGGCCAAGTTCGACATTTTAAAATAAGTATGCCAAATACATTTTTGTATTGCATACATTTTAATTTTGTAGTAATATACGGGAACTTACACGTGTATATTCTTGGGTTTATTCTCGGTATACGAGGGAGCAACCACGATGATTCATATCTCCCCGTTTCGTTTACTTTGCAGTACACACTTGTTTTATATAGGCAAGATTTGTCTGCGGTGTGCGAACGGGAAAGTTTACGCTGCATTACGCGTGCCGCAAAGTAGCGCTTTCCAATCAATAAACCGCAAACAAGTCTTGTTTAGCAAATACTTGATTCTACTCATGAGTGCTGAAAAATTTAGAATCGCAGTAGCTTATCGGTTACGACTCATGCTTGCTAACCTGAAGTAGTGATCTGGGGATTTCTTCCCGGTCATGTCCTACTCAGGGAAGCCTCAAGGCTATTGTTAATTTGAGTATAATGTAGCACTATGTCTATTTCAAACGCTGTGACTGTTTTACCATTTTTAAGTATCCTAGATATTTCTTTTGGTTTAGCTCTCTGGCTTCCTATTTGTGGGTAATAACACGTTCAGAGTTCCTCCCTTATTTATACTCCTTACTATTTTATATATCTTAAAAATAAAACGTGGATAAACGTTGTGTAGAAGTATAGCATATTGATGCTATACTATGTTTATGCACGTTCTCTTTTGTAGAGATCAATTTCAACCACCTCAATAGTTCCCTTCATCAAATGATTTAAGTATTCTTTGAACAAACAGTTCCATTGTCTCGCGAATCAATTCCAAAAAAGATCCGTTCAAAAGTTAAGGAAGTTGTTTAAATGAGATTCTCCCAAAGTTTAGTTAAGAGGCTTTCTCCGAATACAATGCTTAAATCAAAGATGAAAATATTTTCCGCTTCTCACCAAGCAGAAACTTTTAAAAAGCTTGATTCCAACAAAAACGTCCCAAGTTTGTGGTTGATAAACATGCCCTGGTTTTATCTGAACCTTTAAGTCTCATTCCGAAGTTCAGAACTTTGCCATAGATAAATATTGAATATTATATACGTCAAGATTTATTTAAAAAATTAAAACACGTTCTTGCCTGTTTCTTCCCTTCATGTGAAAGGAGAATTTTACTGGCGTATATTATATTTTTAATAATGGATTATGGCTACAAAATACGTACTTGTGGGTAGAATTACAACAATTGCTTCGGATTAGCATGTCGCCAGGTACTCGTCAATCTAACAGGGTCCTCTTTCAGTAGGACCGCCGCATTTGCGACTGCCTGAAGATACATAATGACAGAGACGTAGACACTAAAATCTTAGTCCAAAAGTTCATGTTTATCTTACCCGAGTACCGGAACGAAAAAGACGAACTGTATTGAAGGTGATACTGCGTGTTGGTAGAGCTAACGCCTGCCGTTTCTTCGTAGGCTACCCGCGTGACGCAGTCGTGTAGCGGGTGGTGAACTCTATTAGTGCTGTAACGTCGCGAGTGAAAGAGGATACGATTGTTATTGTTGTTGGGTGGAGGTGGTGATAATGGCGGATAGGTGATGTTTGTGGTGGCAGTGTCCTGAGGAGGTGGTAATATAAAAAAAAGTTAGGAGACATGGCATTTCCTCTCCCGAAAAAGAATATATTTTGACTGAGATTCAACTTCTAATCACTGCTCTGCAGGCAGAGCACGTAGATCTATTAAATCGCATTGCTTTAGGAACCCAGAACACCTCTAGAGAACTAATTTTACTGCGAGTCTGTAAACTCGATCGAGAAACACACGTTGTGGCAGTTTAACACCTACCCGAGGAAAAAGATGCGGGAGCTGGCTGTGAATCTCTCAGGGCTAGTGGCTTACTTCGCTTTTACTCTGTGCTGATAATGGAGAAAAATGAGAAATATAATGGTCATTTAATTTGATATATGACCTAAGCAATGAATTAGTAAGAAGAAAATAATTAATAACAAATTCAATTGTAATGAAAACGTTACAGTGATGTGGATACCTGCGGCGGATGACAAAAATGTCAATGACAAAAAACAATATTTTTAAAATTGTAATTTACTCTTTAAAATATCGATAAAAAGTTGTTAATGCAGTCTCAAAATAATGCTGGCAAACTATAACCTACAAAAATGAATTCATATTCAGGAATATTGCAATAATTTGTACTAAAATTATGTTTGATATTAATTACCACCAATGGAAAGCTTTATGAGCACTTCCACGAAAGAAAGCCCGGATGCTTCATTGATAAGAAATGGCCTTCTGTTGGAGACTCCAAGTAGTTCACGTTGAATCCGCGTGATGTCTCTGGCGTGTCAAATGGCGCTATGAGGGGAAATTGTGTCCGTACCTCTGGAGTTATTGTGAGGTTGCCTGCGTCATATCTACTCTTCTTGACCCGAGGTGTTCGAAGAAACGGAAAAACAATAAATATCAAATTAAGAAATGTGAGTACGCTAGCTTCAAAGAGCAGGAGATACTCCAGAATAAATATAAAAATAATCAATAACTACACTTATATCGAAGGCATTGGATGAAAGGAATTTATGGTAAAAGCCCTTATTACATTAATATCTTAGAATTATTATTCTTAATTTAATTATTTGTAATTTTAAACTTATCCAACATTCTCTAATAAAATAAATAAATGTTTTTCGGCAGCTAAAATTTAGGTTTAATAATCTGGACGTCATTGGAAAGTACTCAGTACTATATTTTCTCAAATACGGCTCTAAATGTTTCCTTTCAACTGTCTGTACGAGTAGTGCTAAATGCACTGTAACAGGAAACATAAATGTCATTATAAAGTATTATTTTGCTATTTAATACACTAATGTATTGTTTATGATAAATCGCTCACGTTGTTACTTTTTACATGACCGATGATTTGTATCCATTATTGCATTTGTGAGTACAAAGGTTTTAAATGATATAATATGAAGTTTCTCGAAAACTTAAAATTTTTCTGTGAAAATGAGCTGAAATAATTTCTACATACCTTTTGTACGGATAATGCTAAATGCACTGAATAACTTGACATTATTGCTACTATGACTTATTCTCTTGTTGTTGTTTTTTGACATTACACAAGGGCTTTTTTAAATGTCTCTCTCGTTAATATTTACTGTACGGGCATTTCTTGTACATTATTGTATTTGTGAGTATAAGTACTTGAAATGATTTCTTATGACGTTTCTTCACATCTCAAACGTTTTCTGTAAAAATAAGCTTCAAAATGCGTATTTTCAGAAACGCTTAAACGACATTGTATTAAAAATAGCTTCGCATTTTCCAATGCAAGTATGCATAGAAGACCAGATTTTACGTTTCTGTAATATTTTTAAAGCTGTATTTTAAACCTACTATTAGGTACCTGAAAAATCGCGGAAACGTGAAAAACGAGTATTCGTCTATTTTTAAATACATTTTTATGTAAATACCATATTTTCCTAAAGTAATATTACGCAGAGAGAGAGAGAGAGAGAGAGAGAGAGGGAGAGAGAGAGAGAGAGGGACAGACATACAGACAGACAGCTCCGTAACCGATCATTTATGTTCAATAAATTGGTTTAAATTAGTAAGAACCAACTACCTTGATACCTTATGATCAAGGTAATTGTTTTCAACTACTTGATCATACTTCCCGTGAGTGTAGTGCACGTTACAACCGGGAGGTGGTGATGCTCCTCCCTCCTCTGGAACGTGTGATCGAAGGGTCAACCCACACGTGGGCTGTGAGGATATCCTTCTACAGGTGTCTCCTCTAGCGGGCCACCGCATCAGCCCGAATAAGCTCTAAGCACCCGACTAGACTCCCGATATGTGGAGAGTGTATTGTATTTAAGAGTAAGAGAGAATGCTTTGCGCACAGTCCGTGGGCCGTTTGTTAGTATTACTCATATATTAATTTAATATATGAGTAATGGCATTAATAAGAGAAATCACGAAAAACCACCGATCAGAGTAGCTGCTGGCATTCTTCTCGAAACAATGCGTTAATTCGACTTATACGAATACGAAGTAGCTTGTGTCGAAGGTCTGTCACCGTCGGAAGTCGAATCGTAGAGACTTCCAATGAGAGTCGCTGTAGTAGCAACGGTAGAATTCACTAAGCCACATCAGCAGGTATGTCGATTTAAATGTATATTTTAAATTCAAGTTCTATGTAAGTAGATTTCCGAGATTTCCTTCGAGTTCGAATTAGAAGAGGATCCATTGTACGTATTCCATGCATGCTACTAACGAATGCACGAGCTTCAGATAAGGTAAAGGCCTTGGCTCTGAAAGGTCGCAGGCTCATCTATTCGTGGTCACATAGAGAGCCAATCCTCGCCTACGCTCCGCCCCCCTCTCCTCCCCTCCCTCCCCCGAACCTCGGCCACCCACGCGCCAGATCTTTTAGCCACTTTAAATGCCACTATGAGCTTCCTCCGCAACGAAGAGCTGCCTCCGATAACGTCATTACTTGACTTGCAGAATAAAACTTTTGTGTTGCTTGTTAAAAATGTTGGAGACGACGTTATTTTTCCGAACAAACACCCCTTCGACACGTACAGTACGTGAGCAAACTGTTAGAGCACGAAGTTATTAAAGATGCGCTTTGGAGCACTTCATGGACAAACTCGACAGCAGTGTGATGTGGATCAATACAGAACCTGTTGTTGAAGGTGACTGACTGGATAATGTGAAGTGCAAAGTGTATATCGTGCAATTACGCACATCACGGGTTGATTAATTAGGTCAGCATTCGCTGCGCGCACATGCAACTTTTAAGGGTCGAATGTGGAAAGAAAAGCTTCAATGTACAGTAGGAAGGCTGTTATTTTGTGGCTATTATTTTTAATTGAGATGTCTACTACCAAAACACATGTATTTTATTTTCAAAAACATTCCAAGAGAAACAGAAATTTTCTCAAGTCCACAAGCGGTTAGATGTGATAGTTTTCAGTTATCAAGAAACTTCAAAAGAAATTATCTAAAGTACTTGTTCTAAAAAATGCAATATTGTTTTAAAAACATTTATAATGTAAATATCAACGACGTTAGAGATGTAAAAAAATGTTTACATTTGTGTAATTGTTTACATAATAAAAGAACAGATTAAAATGGAGTTCAAAATGGAGTCAAAACGAAGCACAAAATTATATTTTTTGGTTCCCTAATTGAAGAATAAAACGCAAGTCAAGGAACCCGATAATGGGACTGATGGGAAAAAATTAGCAAAACGTTGAAAAAGAAATTAGAACTTTAGAAAATCGTTATCACAATTTTATAAGACGCAGTACAGTAGTCTGATATTTAATAAAATGGTCAATGATTTTTTAAACGTAAATAGTTCATTACACTCATTACGTAATTAATACCGATAAAATGTATAAGCTTTAATGCCTGTTGAGAACGAAATATGGAAACTAACTGATAAACGCGACATAATTTACGCATTTTCAGATAAAGAAAGCTCGAAAAATATCACAGATGCTGAAAAGAAAATGATTGCAATTCATCTTGACAAAACGTAACTATAATAAGTAATAATCATATTCCAATATAGTTTCAGATAAAGAGAGTTATATTTAGTGTGTGTATCTATGAAATGGAAAAATGTACGTAGCCAAATATCGCTAATATTAGAGCAAAATATACTGAAATTAACACTTATTATTTCATGTATTTAACAATAAGTTGCTTTATTAATCACTAACTAAACACAAAATATTTTTTCGCTGTTTAATCGTACCTTGAAAATTTTATTATTGGATCACTATATACTTTTACTTAAAACTATTATTTAAAATATATTTCCAAAAACTTTTTTCTAGTTTAAACGTCCTAATTTTTGTTATTTGTTGAAATAAAATAATTCAAAATTCCTTGATACAACTTTTAGATTTTTAATTTTTTCGGGGGAGCTACGTTTCAGCATTGCCCCGGGCCCAAAATTGTCTAGATTCGGCACTGGCTAGAACAGTACATACTTTAGCGCATTATTTCTAATTTTTGGCATTTTACATAATTCAGAGAGTTCAACGAAAATTATACCTGCTCTATTTTTAAATGTCCTTTGGTCTATCCCGGGGGAAAAAAATTTAAAAAATTGAAACTGTTTTTGAGAAAAAATATAATCTTTACTTCAAACAAAAATTACGGGAAAACTACTATTTTTATCAAAAATGTGTATACACCCTTATTTACAGATTTAAATTTTTACAACATATTACAATAAGAAAACAAGATGGCTTATCAAATTCTCCAGTTTGCTTCACAAGTCACATTTCACTCCTTCAGCACTTCAAGATCCGTGGAATAGTCTCTGGAGAGAGGCATAGCTTATTAAGAAACACCCAATTAGCTTTCTGTTAAGTTTAAAACTTATTTACGTTAATTGAAGAGAAGCCAATATCTTATATTTTAATAGAAAGTACATTATAAGTCATAATTAGCAAAAAAGAACAAGGGATTAAAAATTTGATTTTTATCTTCACATAAAGTGTTCAACGTTCGCTATGACACGTACTTCGGACAATGAAACACAATTCTACCTTTTTGTAAAACTTTCAGTTTAATTTTTCAGGTTATTTTCTTATATTATTGTTTCATATTAATCATATGTACTTCATGGCTGGCAGAAATGAATGGAAGTGCCAAGAAGTAATCACACTTTTTGATTTTTCTTTTTCTAAAACTAAATTGTAACTATTTTGTGGCTATATTAAATCTTAAGTGTTTCACAGACGTAACACTAAAGTATCTACTAATCGAGAGTAACATGTGGTTTACTAAGGCGATAATTATAACTTTTAAAATTACAACTGAGTCGATCATCTCAGATCCATCCGAAGGGATTATAAGCCGCGACCACTTCACTTCCCCATAGTTGCGATCGGAACGTCTTGAAACACGATTGGAAATAGACCACGACTCTTCAGCCAAGAAAATAATATTCATTATGACTCCAACAGTAAAGTTCCTTGTCTTATTAATTAGAACTTTTCCCCCGTACAATGGGAGGTTTCGCGTCAATAAATTGATATAGAAAATATTTTCCCCTTTTATTCTAATAAAAAAATAATCCAATATTTTAATCACTAAATTATTGTATATCTTTGTGAAGAAATTTAAAATATAGCCATATTTGTTTTTGTATAAATTAAAGGTAAACCATGCATAAAACTATTTTGATTTGAATGTTTTACATTTGATTTTTGTGTCCCTCATGCACCGCCCAGTTCCTTCGGTATTTTATTTCATTGCGAATGTAAACACGAATTTCCTCGACAAGCTTGTTTGTTTTAAATGTGCACTTTTATGCAAAGATCAAAGTTTTTTACGGTAAAGTCCCCTATATCTGTACAACCAATTATATCACAGAATGGGTAAATGGGGAAGAGTAAACATCAATGTTAACTACTATTCGTCTTCATATTCAACAGAGAATGTTTTGGCGACAATTCCCAGAGGTCACAAAATGTACGTTGTAAGATTTTGCCTCTAAAATATTTTTCATGAACTTGTTCGGGTCGTTGTTTATTCAGTTTGTAAAGTATTTTGAAAATAAATACAAAAATCGTACCTCCAAAACAATGGGCATCAGAATAGAACATAGTGAACTGAAGGATTTCTCACGCTAATATCATCCAAGAAATATTTTTAATAGTAAACCGGACATTTCAACTGAACTGGTTGGTGCGTTTATTGAATACCGGGATATCACAAACTTGGCAACAAGAGTTTACTCGTGCAACAACAGTTTGTTTTATCAGTTGTTTCAACAGTTGTTTGTTATTGCACAAACCAATGGAAGCCCCAGAAAAATGATGAAGTGATTATATGAGAAAGAAATATATGAAAGTCGCCTGCAAACCTAAAAATAGTTCAATGTGAAAGAATGGATGAAAGAAAATCTATAAATAAATTATTCATTAATTTTATATAGGGGGACGAAAAATCTCTTCTAAAAAACTAGATGAATAATTTTATTCTGAGAGGAATCGTATATTTCAGTTTTCATTTCATAAAGTACCTTTTCTATGCTATTTCCTGAATATATTTACCTTCCTATTTAAAAAATATATATTTTATATTTTAATTAATCTGATTATTTAAAATAAGTTCCGTAAAAACACAACAAGTGGATAATATTGCAAGTTTATGTGAGTATCATCCATTTCTGTTAGAAAAATATATACATGTATACTAATAGTTCATTATGAACCTAGCATTGAACATATAACAAATGAAACGAAAACGCAAATGTTTGTTCGTTTATAATTCAGATTATTTTAGATGTGCCACTTTTCTTGAGTACAGACATTACTACATTCATCTCATTAACCATCCCTGTGCACCTTCTTCAATTCCTGGTGTGTGTCATAACGTTCTCTTTCGATTGGTGGAACCATGTCGTCCGCAGACGATCCTGCTGGGCGACTCGGGCGTGGGCAAGACGTCGCTCCTGGTGCAGTTCGACACCGGGCGCTTCCAGTCAGGCAACTTCTCCGCCACCGTCGGCATCGGATTCACGGTGAGTGCGCACGGCAGTCCTCTCTAGTCGACCTCTTTCGCCTTGCCTATTCGTTTGCCTTTCCCTATTTCCTTTTCTTCTTCACTCACTGTCCCGCCCTCGAATATCATACGAATTTCATACTCAGTTTCGCGCCCAAGCGCCGACGTATTTCCGTGAGTTGTCTGTCAAATGCTTTGCTCTTGGGAAACCAAAGATACATCGTTGTAGTTGACTCTCACTTCTCTGGTATTCGTCAGGTGAGATCAAAGGAATGGTATCCAGATAATTCCTGAATCAAGTAAAGATCAATATTTTTCAAATTGAAGAAATATAGAATTATCGAGTTTCCCACTAAGAAGTAAGAACTTCTGATAATACAAATTTAACTATTTCGTTAATTAATGAAATATCAGGTTAAAATAATGTTGAAATGTCTTGATGATCTGTGAAATTCATAGTTGAAGTTCCAATGACATTACCTTCTGATTGTTTACTCCCTGCGTACTCTAGGGTGTCAGGATTCTAAAAAATAACTTCTTTCAACCGAAGATAAAACATTTTTCGAGCTGCAAAGATATCCTGAGTAAATAAAAAAAATAGGTGATACAGTTCAAGAATTTCGAATTAACCCTTGTATTTGCTTGTATATGTATTAGTTTCGTCGTTTAAAGGATACATTTTTTTAAGTTACCAGACGATATGCAATTGAGATCGTGTCTGGTCTAATTTCTCTATGTGCCTGCTGAATACAAGCTTAACACATTCTTGATGGTACATTTTACGAACATGCATAAATGTTGGCTTAACTCCCACTAATAATACTCGATTTCATAGTAGAGTAACATTAATAGAGCCGACAGACGTACTCGTCGAGCCACAAACAAATTTGCAACAAATCAGATTGCATAAGGTAAATTAATATTTATGTACTAGAGATAAACCGTCAAAACCTGAAGGACTCAGATTCAAATCCCGACGTAGGTTGAGATAATTATCTGCACATTCCCATTCAGAACTGCTCTGAGGTCGACTCAGCCTCCTTTCCACGTGAGTACCAGGATCTTTCCTGAGGGTAAAGGCTGCCGGAGCGTTGTGCTTGCCACACACTCTCCTCCTTGAGCCGACGGTGACGAATAAGTGGAGCCCTACCTTCAACTCCTCTGCTGGCCACAACTCGGCCTGTGTGCAATTGCACAGGAATGCTTTTACCTTCACCTTTTGTCCCGTCAAAGGTGACGGGAGAAAATCAAACTGACCTATTAATATAATTTATTAAAGCGAATACTGGAACACAATTCATTTAATAATAATCAATTTAATTTTAGAGTTTTCCATTTCATAATTTCCTTTATTATTAGTAAAATCAGGTTCTCAAACTGCGGTCTCTATGGGACCGAAAAGCGATTCTTGGAATATCCTGAAAAGACCAACAGGTCAAATTTTGGGTCATTTGCCATTGTCACTGGTTGTCAAGTACCATGAATAATTCGAATTTAGTTGCTCTGATATTTGTTATGGTTCTCGGAATCCAACAGAGATCTCACTGCATTCTCGGAATCCAACAACAGCGTGTGTATCAAAAATTAGGTCCAACGAGTTTCCCAGAAATTTCACGAATGTGACCACAGTGGGGATGCGACATCGAAGTCGATGTTTTCAAAACATCGATGTTTCTATAAAAATATCAATGTTTTAAACATCGATGTATTGAAGTCGATGTTGCTTGAACATCGATGTTTTGTGATTGATGAATTCCGTTTTCTATATGTTTTGTTTGTGGATGAAAAATCCCCATTACCACAATTGCAGTAAAGTTAAAATTCGAAATAATAACAGATGGCGCAGTTTTAACCGAACGAACGCGGTTTGTTCTGCCTACATCGAGCAGACTATCCCTCGCCGTAGATGATTTGGAAATGGTGTAAACTTGGTTTTTCGCACATGGAAAGTCGTTTTTTAACATTTTTCCCGTTAAATTTTAATTAGAAATTAATATACACGGTCACTGAAATTTTGTTGCGCACGAAGTTAAAGTTAGAGGTTAGCAACCAGCATTAAAACATCGATGGTTTTTGGTCGATGTATTATTAACAACGACGTTCTTTATTTTGAACATCGATGTTTCGAAACATTGATGTTCTATTGCCGACGTCGCATCACTAGGCCACAGGTGGGCCAGTCCTTTGCCACGGGAGTGTCAGCTCGGACTTATCTCTTGAGGGTGGTCCTCCCGTGTTGGTCGTTTTGTTATTGCATCCTTTCCTCATTTATTTATTTTTACGAAATCATGTTTAACCATTACATTTACTTGGCAATATGTATTTGGGGTTTGTTTTACTAACTGAAAGGGAATTTAGATTAATCTGGCAGTGCTTTCACAATTCAGCTTCTGGAGCTTTTCCCTAATAGTCAACGTTATACATCTCTAGCGTCGTGACCAAGGATATTTAATTAATCTGCCTCCGCAGAGTTCGTGTTTCAAAGCGTTCGATTGCTCGAGCGTGCACGCGCCACCGACATCGTGCACAAACGTACAGAGTGATTGCCGCCCCCCCCCACTGAAACAGCGAAACCGAATTGAGCGCCTCAAACGCTACTGAAATGTATAAATGTTGTTCCAACAGCATCAAACATTTGGAAACTTTCTATCCGATAAATCTTAGTGTAAAGTAAACACGAACACAAGGATAATTAGAAATTCTAGACAGAAGTCGATATTTAACAGTAAAATTTACGACTTGCAAATATTCATTCTACAATGGAAAGAACTTCTTACTGGATTCCTAACACCCAACAGTGTGCTGGAAGGGAACACTGACAGGCATAAAATGTTTTTGGACTTGTTCCCGGAATTTCACAGATCAAATCATTCCGACATTACTTCAGGGAACTGGCATTACCTTCATTAACGTTGCAAAATACAAAGGCGTCCGAGAGGGCGTATAACAGTTACTTCATTAATTCCTAGAATAGCCAGAGATAATTGCGAGCTGAGGGCTGAGGGGGCGAGCGAAGCGAGTAAGCGACCTCGAAAGACCATGTAGGCGCGCAAGGGTGCGGATGTGGGTGGGTCTGACAAATTGCATGTGGGCGCGCGTGTGTGGATGTGGGATGATGTGAACGCATGTGGGGTATATGAGCGCGTATGAGCATGTCTGTGCGCGTGTGGGAGTGTGTGGACGCGTCATGAGCTCGAGTGAGCGCATGTGGTCACGTGCGGATGTGTCTGGTGGAGAGTGGGAGTGTCTGGGCGGGTTTGGGAATGTATGTGCGCCTGTGGACGCGAGTATGCACGATTGGGTGCGCGTGGGCATGTCTGTACGCGTGTGGGAGGGTGTGGGTGTGTGGGGGGACGCGTAGGCGCGTGTGGCCACGTGCGGATGTGTCTGGTGGAGAGTGGAAGTGTCTGGGCGCGTTTGGGAATGTATGTGCGCCTGTGGACGCGAGTATGCGCGATTGGGTGCGCGGGGGCATGTCTGTACACGTGTGGGGTGGCCACGTGCGGATGTGTCTGGTGGAGTGTTGGATTGTATGTGGGCGCGTGTAAGCGCGAGAGGGCACGTATGGGAATATGTGGGCGTGTCTGTGCGTGTTTGGGCGCGTGTGGTTGCGTTTGGGGTGCGTGTGGTTGCGTGTGGGGCGCGTGTGACTGCGTAAGGGCAAGTGTAGTTCGCGCGGGTCCGCGTGGGCGCGTGTAGTTGCGTGTGGGGCGCGCGTGGCTGCGTATGGACACGTGTAGGCTCGCGCGGGCCCGCGTGGGCGCGTGTGGACGCTTGTGGATGTCTGAGGCTGCCGGAGGGTACGTGTACGCGCGTGTGGGCGCCTGTGGGCGCGTGTGGGCGAGGGCGGCGCCGCGCTCCGCTGCGCCCTGGCGCTCGCCGCCCCGCTTCTCTCCTGCCTGGGCGCACAGAGGGCGCGCTGGCCGGTCGAGCGGCTAAAGCACACACGCCTCCGCGCGCGCACACACGCCAACACCAACACCGACACCAACACCAACATAAACACAAGCACACGCGCCGGAGCGAGACGCAGTCGGAGTGGGTAGGAGAGGGAGACATGACGTGCGGATGGCGAGGATAGGAATCGACAAGGAGGAGGAGTGCCATCAAGGCAACTCTGAGGAAGATTGACAACGCCTTGAAAGAGGACAGAGGGAAATATCGTATTGCAGCAAGAAAGAGATTAGAGAAGAAGAGAGACGACCGCTGAAATGAGAGAGGCCGAAACGATGAACTGCTGCAAGAAAATAAGCGGAGAACAGATAGAAAATAAATACAGAGAGAGAGAGAGGGAGGGAGGGAGAGAGAGGGTGGGAGGGAGAGAGAGGGAGAGAGAGGGAGAGAGAGAGATAGTCAATAATACAGAGAGAGCTCTTTTACAGCAGGGTTTCCCATCATTTTCTTTGCATCAACCACTTTTAAAAGAATGATTTGCTTCATCGACTCCCTTGATTTTTCTACAAAATACAGCATACAAAATAAACATAACGAAAATAATTGCACAGAAATGACTTGATAAAAATTAGACAAATAATAAAAACAAATGTTTTGCAAAAATTGTTTATGAGTTTTATGTTTGAAAAATGTTGTACTACATGCTTTTCAATTTTTAGAAAAATATACAAGTATTATTAGATGATTTGAATCTTTGTATAAGAAAACAACTAACAATTCATTTATATTTTCTGTAACAATAGTACCATGATTATACCAATCAGTTGCCTGTGCATATACAACTATCGACTTGCAAATGACCCCTTGATCATTACTGACCCCCTTTTGCATCGACCTCCGGGGGATCGATACCGAATCCTTGTGGAAAGTGTTTTAGAGGCTTTGAACAGATACTCATAAATAAAGCAGGTGACCAAGACAAAAAGTAAGAAAGAGTCAGAGAAATCAAAAAAGAGATGGAGAGTAATAATGGACTGGAAGTGGAAAGTTCTGAATTGAATCGTATGCCAATTACCCACAGTGTGTAATGCCTGCGAAGTGTCTTCCGATTTACACTGCAAATAGCCGTAGAGGTCACTCTGTCGTGTGCAAAAACCTGACTGTGGAGACATACTAGCTAACAAGTTAGATTATCTGACAGTAAAGAAGATTCATCTTCATTTTCTTTATATCTTTGAACATTTTAGAAGTTGAATATGACAGGAACATAACATGTTGAATGCATTTGAAAATGTTACCTATATTCCGTACAACAGATTCTCATAAGATTCGACCTAATAATTCAGAAGATATTGGGGCAAAATGTCGGATAAAAAAATCGTTCACTTTGTGTCAGGATGATTGCGTCTTATACAAATGGATCGGTTCCTAACTTTTCTGAGGAAGACACTAAATCAAGCAATATAAAACTTCGTGGTAAATGAGACTCGCCCCTTCTTAGCTTTCTCGGACTCGAACTGAGGTGAGGTACGCTAACTCTACAAAGATACACTAATAAATATCGGATATTGGAGAAGGGTGTCTAGTCATCACTTGGTTGATATTTAGTTCAATTAAAAATATATCTCAGGGTTTCGCGCGATGAGGTTTCTGTTCTTCAGTGAAAACTGTTGTAATGAATACTATTTAATGTATACAAATATTATTAAAACAATTTTTAATTTTTTTAAAATATTTATTGGAACTTGTTCTAACGTAATGGTCCAGGAGTTTCAAATCATAGAGAGGAAACGTCTTCGCTGTAGCTTTTGTAGCTTTTTATTCACAAAATATTAGTTATGTATTATCAATATTGTCTTTACAAAATAAACGTTTTTTGTGAAAGAAGCTTATTACATCTGAGGAATACTTAATGTCAATTACAAATAACACTAAACATATTTAACTACAAAGAATTAATTAATGGTAAGAAATGTTTTTTCTGGGTGAGTAAACTACATAGGTAGTCATTAATCTATTAACACAAAACATCTGTTATTATCTGCACCAATACACAAAACAGAGAAATTTTCTTCTTGCCTACGTTACTTGGTTCCTTTTTGTAATAAACAGTTAAAACAAATGAGTTTACCTACGTTTTTCATTCAAAAGTGTGAACTTATTTTAAAGGCAAAGGACATTATCTTTGCTCAAGTTATTTACTTTTTTGAATTATCACTTGAATTTGTCAAAGCAACGATTCGAAGAATAAATTGCTGCACCATAGTAGCAACATTTCATTTGAAGTAATACTACAAATATACATTACATTGTATGTATTGTTTAATTTCTGTTGTGTCCAATCATTGAACGAATACTACAATTATTATATTTAAGATAGTATCTTCAAAAATTAATGTCTATATCAGTATTCACATTAATATTCGCCTTTTTGCTAATTTCGTATCGCTAACTATATCTTGGCAGTAAATAAATTATTTATTATTTATTATCATTATCATTAGTTCGTAAGGGTAACACTTGTAACATACCGTGAGGTGGAGGATTTTTCCCGCCGCTGTGTCGCGAGATCCGACGCCGATCTTTATGTCGGCTTGCGGAGCCTTCTCTCTCCAAATATCTCTCCAAGTGGGGCACCACTGCAGCCAGAAAAATATCTAAGCTCCCGACTGATCTCTCGAAACGTGTGATGGAACAGTGTATGCAATTCTGATAGTTGCGAATGAAGACAGGGCAAGATGTTGGACTGTCTAAACAGACATTAGACTAACGTATCAAACTAAAAGACAATTACCAGTACAGTACGGAGCATAGTCAATACTCATAATAAAGTTTATTAAATAGAAATGTCTGTGTTAATTATAAAAATAACTGAAAGTGATAGACACATTATATTATGTATCACATCAACTTTTGTGATTTGCAAATGCTCACCAGGCAGAAATCTGAGAAGCAATGAGATAAAGATATTATTCCTCAAAGTTTATGTAGAAACGTCTCCTCTATAAATTTTATGATAATGCCTCAAAAACACTATAGTACCACTGTTTGGTAATATGTAGAATACAACCCTTACTTGAACTGAATTAAACAGTATTAGTATTAAGCAGTAAAAACTATGGAAAATAAACGATCACTAATAATTTGATTATTAATGAGTTTCATTGTCATATTTTCGTATTTCAAACTCAAATTAGCATATGTAGTTTTAAAAACTTGTAACGCTATTTTACACATTTCCCAAGTGTATATCTTGTTGAAATTTTGCCACCTAACTTCTTGCGATGAAAGTAAGACATACATTCTAAAAACAGGTCAGATTTGTCATAATGCATGAATCCTGTAATTGAGCAACAAAGGAAAAAGACAGAACAATTGCAGATATTATTTTGACGCAAGACGTAAGCGAAGGTCAGGAAAAATATATTTTGCGAGTCGCCTTGAAACCCCGCGCTGTAGGTGCCTTTTATGTCAAGATGGCACATTCAAAATATAAACACAAAACTTCACCAAATCATAAGCCCCAAGTCCTTTATTACATCGTCTCAAAGCGGTGTTTAAGATCAGAACATCCGCTTCCATAGAAACCAGATAGGTTCCAAGCAGACAGTAGATCCTGGATCAACATGAAATATCGAGCACTCCCTCCGGAAATTGAGGGAGCATGTGTACTCAAAGGGATCACGCCAGCGAAGAGTTGCCCGATGCAGCAGTAAGTGAACTTAGTCGGACCAAATCCCAGCCCTTGGGGAACTCCATCCACGTCCCCAGCTTTGCTATTACCTGGAACGAACGACGCCGCGGGAAACATCAGAACCCAGAGCAGATCTCACTGCCCTACTCCCTTCACCCCCGTCGCTTTGGAACCTCCCCCTCGGGGTGGCGGCGGCGGGGGCGGCGGCGACGGTGGAGGCGGTGACCCACGCCGTGCGCGCGCCCCGGCCGGGCGCACGCGCGCGCGCACACACGCTGCGGGTGGTGGCGGCGGCGGCGGGGGCGGCGTTGTCCGGAAACGCGCACTGTGCACTCGACGCAGCGGCGGCGGCACAGACGGAGGCGGCGGCGGCAGCGAGACGCGAACAGGTGGGTGATTCTCAAGGCTTTGTTGCGCTGGCTAATACACATCGTCTCATTAGGGCAGTGGTGTCTGTTCATCATACAAAATATTTCGTAATTTTCTGTCATTGAGGACAGTTCTTATGAGTTTACTTTCATGTACATTGTTCCAATGTTTTTCCGGTTGATTAAATACTTCGTTAATACTGCTCCAGAATTCCATGAATTTCATAAGTTTAATTGTCAAAGCAAAACGTTTGTTCCTATCAAAATCTTTGACTCCCCTTATTCGAAAGTAATGACAATTTGCAATCAAGTGTTCCTCCAATATTCCCCTTACATTCGAATTTAAGTGAAAACTTACTAGTATGACTAAAAAAGAACCACTGCCCTAGGATTATAAAAAAATTGAGCACTAGAGAACGGAAAATGATGTGATGATAATTTTGTATTACAAATTTAAAATTCAAATCTGCCGAAGCAAAATTTTGCTAACAAAAATTTAATTGCACAAAACGCTGATATATTATTTCGCGGAATGCATTTAATTAAAACTCCATACACAAATATGTGTTTAGAATACGTTTAATAAAATCGAACTTTCTAAAATTCCAAACTCAGTAGTTAAATAATATACAATTATTTAACTTCACAACATACTTCGTTCTTCCGTGTCCAGTTATTGCATGTAAAGTTACTGTTTTGCTATTTTGTGAATCTTCGAAAGGGAAGTCTCTAGAGATGTGTCACCTGTATTTAAGTTCGAATTGTGTGGGCTTAAGATGTCTTATAGGGATATTCAGTGCATTAAAATATCTGTTTTGGTGGAAGAAAATTGCATAAAATTCTTTTTTTATCTTCTGTGATCAAAAATCATGTCTATTCCTTAAACAAGTTAGCAACATTTCTAAAACATGGCTTCTAGTACATCGTAACCCAGTTACGTATTACATTAAAATTCTTGGGTAGAAGTAAAAATGATATGACAAAATAAGTTCGCATGTCAACCATTTGAGTAGGCTTTGATATTTACATTTGAGTCCAGACTTAATATCCACTATTGTATTGTATTTAGTTGGTAACTAATTTCACAAGAACCGTTAATTTCATTAGTAATCCATTTCTCAATTTTATGTTCCAAAATCTGTATTTTTTAATACACAGAAGTTTTGAATTTCACCGAATTATGACATTATTTAAAAAAATGTGATCATGTAGAACTCAAATCCTAATTGTAACTGAATGTAAGGTATTTTAGTT